TTGTTGTTCTAATTTGAAGGCCACATGAAGTTTGGAGGTCTTTATCTATTGACTCTGCAGACAGTTGGCGACTTTTGCACAATGTACGCTTCAGCATGTGCTAACCCCACTCTGTCATTTTACGTGGCCTTCCACTTTGTGGCTGAGTTTCTGTTGTTCCCAGTTGCTTCCACTTTGTTACAATACCACTAACAGTTGACCGTGGAATATTTAGTAGCAAGGAAATTTCACATATCGACTTAATGCACAGGTGGCAACCTACCACGGTACCACACTTGAATTGACTGAGCTTTGAGAGCGACCCATTCTTTCACAAATGTTTGTAGAAGCATGCATGCCTAGGTGCTTAATTTTATACATCTTTGGCCATGGAGGTGATTGGAACACCTGAATCCAATGATTTGGACAGGTGTCCCAATACTTTATGCAATATAGTGTATTTTTTGTTCTTTGTTCATGGCTATATGACTGACTAACATGTGTGTGGACATAAGGAGTCTGTAAGTACCACTGCTATTGTTTGGTGGCAGTCATTAAACAGGGAATATAGATTTATTTGAATTTGATATCTAGTTAGATGTTTGAACTGCAGCTGGAGAATTGTGAAACTAATGTACAATTTTTCCCCAGCGAGCACACCTGGGAAAAACTAAATGGTTGGAGTCCGGCCTAGTGCACAAAGGTGAATGAGTATCAAGAGCCTGCTGGGCTGGAATCCTGCATCAGCAACTTTCAGCAGTATATCCAGGGGCTAGGCAGTTTTACCATGGTGCCATGAGGCTACTGGGCAGCCACGGAATAGCTATGGTTAGGCTGGACAGCCTTGACGACCACTACCCAGTCCTTGTAAATGGCCCAGAAACTGCTCCACTCCTGCTTGATGTCTTGGAAGCAAGCCCAAGCCTCCTTGACAGGAGGCTCTCTCAAAGGCCTGGGGCCATGCATGTAGTCCCACAATAGGACATCTTGCCACTGGGATCTGGACTCCTCGATGATATTCATGATGTCCTGTGGGACATAGTGATAGTCTAGTCCCCACTGAAAAGCCACTCTTTTCTGCACCTCCCTCTGAAACTAGTAGAATCGGGGAAGCAGCTCCTTATCCCTCAATCCCAGATGTACACAGGAGCATGAAAACCGAAGGATCCATCTTTTTAAAATTTTGTTGGCCCTGGATCTACAGTAGGTCAAGATGAAGAAGGCTTTGGCTGAGCTCTAGGTGGGCGTCTGTATAGGCTCAGTCCTGTGGGAACCCACATGGAAGAAAAATATATTTGAAATATGTTTAAAAAATATTCTTCCCAAATATATTGACATATATTTAATACTACAATTTTGTCCATATTCAATATATTTCAAAATATATTTCAATAAATATATATATAGATATCTATATGTATATATATATATATATATATATATATATATATATATACTGTATGTTGAAATGCATTTTTATTACAAAATATATGAAAAATAATTTTAAAAATATTTTTCATATATTTTGTAATATATAAAAACGCATTTGTATATATATATATATATATATATATATATATATATACAGGTGAAACTCGAAAAATTAGAATATCATGCAAAAGTTCATTTATTTCAGTAATTCAACTTAAAAGGTGAAACTAATATATGAGATAGATTCATTATATGCAAAGCAAGATAGTTCAAGCCGTGATTTGTCATAATTGTGATGATTATGGCTTACAGCAGGCAGGTCCAAAGTCCGGCCCGCGGGCCATTTACGGCCCGAGGGCCGGTTTAATACGGCCCTCCATGTCAGTGTGTCAGTGTGTCTTATGGAGCGAATATGGAGCGGCCGGTCCGGTATTTCCACCGCGGCCGTGTCAGAATACCGGGGCCGGCCGCTCAGCTCTGCAGCGGGACCTTACCTGTTCCTCTATCCAGCGGCGCGCTGTCTTCCCGGCTGCCAAGTGCGCATGCGCAAGAAGCGGTGCTTTTTGTGAATGGTAAGGCGGTACCTGGGACACATGACAGATCCCAGAAGCCGCCGGACCAATCACAAAGCGCAAGTGCTTCTCGCTCATGCGCACTGGGCACCCGGCTGTCATGCCGAGCGCCATTACAGAAGCCGGGAAGACAGCGCGCGGCTGGATCGAGGAACAGGTAAGATCAAAGAACAACTGCAGAAGTAAGAGCGGGTACCTGTCAAATTCAGGTACCCGCTCCCCACCTCCCCAAAGGTCAGCAGTCATCTGTACTGTCCGCAGTCTCTGGTCATCCCTGTGCTGTCCGCAGTCTCTGGTCATCCCTGTGCTGTCCGCAGTCTCTGGTCATCCCTGTGCTGTCCGCAGTCTCTGGTCATCCCTGTGCTGTCCGCAGTCTCTGGTCATCCCTGTGCTGTCCGCAGTCTCTGGTCATCTCCTGTACTGTGTCTGCAGTCCATTAGTTCAGAATTTTTTTTTTTCCTGTTTTCTGCCTCTAAAACCTAGGTGCGTCTTATGGTCAGGTGCATCTTATACGACGAAAAATACGGTAACTTGGCATAAAATAATTTATTTGCATTTAATTGCAATGGTTCAAAGAATGTTTGGAAAAATGTTCGGCCCTCCACCATGTTCACTTCATCCAATCTGGCCCTCTTTGAAAAAAGTTTGGACACCCCTGGCTTACAGCTCATGAAAGCCCCAAATCCACAATCTCAGAAAATTAGATTATTGTGAAAAGGTGCAATATTCTAGGCTCAAAGTGTCCCACTCTAATCAGCTAATTAAGCCATAACACCTGCAAAGGGTTCCTGAGCCTTTAAATGGTCTCGCAGTCTGGTTCAATGGGAATCACAATCATGGGAAAGACTGCTGACCTGACAGTTGTGCAGAAAACCATCATTGACACCCTCCATAAGGAGAGAAAGCCTCAAAAGGTAATTGCAAAAGAAGTTGGATGTTCCCAAAGTGCTGTATCAAAGCACATTAATAGAAAGTTATGTGGAAGGGAAAAGTGTGGAAGAAAAAGGTGCACAAGCAGCAGGGATGACCGCAGCCTGGAGAGGATTGTCAGGAAAAGGCCATTCAAAAATGTTGGGGACTTTCACAAGGAGTGGACTGAGGCTGGAGTCAGTGCATCAAGAGCCACCACACACAGACGGATCCTGGACATGGGCTTCAAATGTCCTATTCCTCTTGTCAAGCCACTCCTGAACAACAAACAACGTCAGAAGCGTCTTACCTGGGCTAAAGAAAAACAGACCTGGTCTGTTGCTCAGTGGTCCAAAGTCCTCTTTTCTGATGAGAGCAACTTTTGCATCTCATTTGGAAACCAAGGACCCAGAGTATGGAGGAAGAATGGAGAGGCACACACTGCAAGATGCTTGAAGTCCAGTGTGAAGTTTCCACAGTCTGTGTTGATTTGGGGAGCCATGTCATCTGCTGGTGTTGGTCCACTGTGCTTCATAAAGGCCAGGGTCAAGATTTTGGAGCACTTCATGCTTCCTTCCGCAGACGAGCTTTATGGGGATGCTGACTTCATTTTCCAGCAGGACTTGGCACCTGCCCAAACTGCCAAAAGCAACGAAACCTGGTTCAATGACCGTGGGATTACTGTGCTTGATTGGCCAGCAAACTCGCCTGACCTGAACCCCATAGAGAATCTATGGGGCATTGCCAAGAGAAAGATGAGATGAGATGAGACCGAACAATGCAGAAGAGCTAAAGGCCGCTATTGAAGCATCCTGGTCTTTTATAACACCTCAGCAGTGCCACAGGCTGATAGCTTCCATGCCACGCCACATTGAGGCAGTAATTGCTGCAAAAGGGGCCCAAACCAAGTACTGAGTACATATGCATGCTTATACTTTTCAGAGGTCCAATATTGTTCTATGTACAATCCTTGTTTTATTGATTGCATGTAATATTCTAATTTTCTGAGATTGTGGATTTGGGGTTTTCATGAGCTGTAAGCCATAATCATCACAATTATGACAAATCACGGCTTGAACTATCCTGCTTTGCATGTAATGAGTCCATCTCATATATTAGTTTCACCTTTTAATTTGCATTACTGAAATAAATGAACTTTTGCACGATATTCTAATTTTTCGAGTTTTACCTCTGTGTGTATATATATATATATATATATATATATATATATATTGAATACTGCCAAACTTGTAGTATTTCAAATATATGTCAAAATATTTGGGAAGTAAATTTTTTAAATATATTTAAAATATATTTTTCTTCCATGTGGGAATGTCCAGCTGACTCTGGGGTATGGGAACTCTCTGACGGCCCTGTCAGGGAGTCTAAGTCCTTGGTAGTGCCCCCACCCCCAGTCCCACTCTTCATCTGTGTCTTCTGGGGACCAGTCTTCCTGCTCAACCTTTGGGGGCGCAAACTCAGCTAACAGTCTGGGTGACTCCCAATCCAACCCCGCACCACTGACACTCTCCATTGGCTCATCTGAGGAATGGGCAGCTTGGCAGATAGGCTTTCTTCCAGACGGAATGGTCTGGGCTGGTGGGGGGGAGGTCAGCTGGTTTGGGCATGAGCTGGTTTCAGCTTGGTAGCACTTGTGGGCACTATCCCACCAGTAGCATATTCGGCTGGATGATAGGTGATGGCAGGCAGCCATCCTCTGATGAATGATCTGCTGTCGGAGCAGGGGAGTCACGGTCCTGGGACTCAACCCCCAAACAAATGACACTGTCTAACAGTTTGCCTTAAAAACAGAGTCTTTAATTGCAGAATATTTGCAAAAATATGTGTAAGCCGCACTGCCCCATCAAGGTCCCTCTGTAAAGTGCGGCCCTAACTTTAATCCTTGAACATCTCCATATTGAAGCAAATATAGCAATGTGTAATTTAGGGGTAGGTATGCCTGGAGACAGCTCATTCCTCTTTAACCACCTTCTGCCCGCCATATAGTACAATGACGGGCGGAAGGTAGTTCTCTTGTTCTGATAGGACATCATATGACGTCCTTCCAGTCTCACCGCGCATGCGCGGCTCAGGGAGCGCACAGCGCGGTGATCGCCGGTGCGCTGTGTCCCTCGGACACAACGGATCACGAAAAGAGCCGAAGATGTCAGCTCGGTCATGTGATCAGCTGCGTCCAATCACAGCTGATCACATGTAAACACAGAAATGCCGGTTATTGGCATTTCTCTCCTCTCGAGCTGTCACGCTGACAGCTCGAGAGGAGAGCCGGTAATCAGCTTTCCGCGAAGGGGACATGTACACTGATCATCAGGGCACTGATGATCACTGTGCTCTGATGATCAGTGTAGCCCCAGAAGTGCCACCTGTCAGTGTCCATCAGTGCCAGCAGTCAGTGCTCATCAGTGCCACGTGCCAGTGCCCATCAGTGCCATATCAATGCAACATATCAGTGCATACTAGTGCACATCAATGCCACATATCAGTGCCCATCTGAGCTGCCTTTCAATGTCACCCATCAGTGCCAGTCAGTGCCACCTATCAATGCCAATCAGTGCCACCAATCAGTGCCACCTATCAGTGCCAGTCAGTGTCGCCTATCAGTGAGCATCAGTGCCGCCTATCAGTGCGCATTAGTGCCGCCTATCAGTGCATGTCAGTGCTGCCTAACAGTGCCAGTCAGTGCTACCTAACAGTGCCAGTCAGTGCCACCTATCAGTGCCAGTCAGTGCCATATATCAGTGCCATATATCAGTGTCATGTATCAGTGTTGCCTTTCAGTGCCCATCAGTGATGCCTGTCAATGCCCATCAGTGCAACCTACCAGTGCCTCCTCATCAGTGCCACCTATCAGTGTCCATCAGTGCAGCTTATCAGTGCCCATCACTGCAGCCTCATTAACACACATCAGTGAAGGAGAATTATCATTTATTTACAAAATTGTATAACAAAAACTAAGAAAAAAATTTTTTTTTTCAAAATTTTCAGTGGTTTTTGGTTTGTTTAAGAAAAAATAAAAATCCCAGAGGTGATTATATACCACCAAAATAAAGCTCTATCTGTCTCAAAAAATGATAAAAATGTCATATGGGTACAGAGTTGCATGACCGCACAATTGTCATTCAAAGTGTGACAGCGCTGAAAGCTGTAAATTGGCCTGGGCAGGAAGGGGGTATAAGTGCCCTCTAGGCTAGTGGTTAAAAGCACAGGGACACACAAGAAGCCCAGCAAAGCAAAATAGCAGGTCAATGTGTCCCAATGTCACTTTCAGCAAGCTAAACAAAAATGGCGACTACTCCAATTTTTAACCAGCCATAAAATTAGGGAGCATATGGAAGGGCTTTGCTCAGCATAAACAAAGGTTTTCACAGCACACTTACCAGCTAGCCAGAAAAAACAAAAAAACATCACCTGGTTGCTGTTAAAGGGTAGGATCTGTATTCAAGTGAAGCACTGATTTGGTATCCCTACCTCTATTAATGTAACCCAGATTTTCAAAATTCAATCTAGGGATATGTTATTGACCATGATCATATTTAATGGGGGTGGTACAGGGGCAGAGTAGGGGTTGAGGCTAATAGCAGTGTGCTACACACACACTGTGCCAAATGGCTCTAACAGTGGGAAGCGCTTAAAAGGGTATAGTTAAATAAAATCGAAGTCTAATCTGCCCTGGGTCAAGAGTGAGTAATGCACAGGCAATTGTTAAAATACATGGGCAACAAAGGACAATAACCAGTCATACAAGGATACAAGGGACATTAGGGGTCATGATGACGTGCTGTGGCCCCTTGGGAGCTCACCAAAAGCTGGTCAGGTATGAGGAGGAAGGTGGACAGGTCAGGTATGAGGAGGTACAGTATGTGGATAGGTCAGGTATGAGAAGGAAGGTAGAAGGGTCAGATATGCAAGGGTGTAGGTAGGCCAGGTATGAGAAGGTAGGTGGATGGATCAAGTATGAGGTGATAGATGTATAGGTCAGGTATGAAAAGGTAGGTTGATGAGTCACAGGAAAGGGGGGACTGAGGTGTAATAGAAGGACAGAAGAAGGATTGAGGTACAAAACAAGGACAGACGAGAGATTGGTGTACAATTGATGGACAGAGGGAGGATCATAAAATGTGTCCAGCCTTTCTCTAAAATAGTCTCTATAAATGAACAAAATTTTATTTACAGCATACTAGAAATACTTTAGACATAGCATAACTCAGAAGCAGTGAGCATTCCTCTGCTCTGCAACGGTTGCATGGATAATTTGCAGCGGGTCTGTGGAACAGTTCATACAGTATCTGCCATGCTCTAGAATCCTTTGATGTTACTAGACCGGCATTCTTTTATCACTTTGGAACAATCAAACATTATTTTTCATACTTTCACCACCAATTGTTTGCCAGTTAGTGAAAACTGGTGACATAGACGCAAAGCTTCTTTCTTTTCACTGGAATTACAAGCAGCTCAGAGAGCCCATGAAAGTTTAACCTCTTCCATACCGGGCACTTTTACGCCCTTCCTGCCCAGGCCAATTTTCAGGTTTCAGTGCTCTCACACTTTGAATGACAATTGCGCGGTCATACAACATTGTACCCAAGCTAAAATGTTTCTTTTTCTTCACAGAACTAGAGCTTTCTTTTGGTGGTATTTAATCTCCACTGGGGTTTTTATTTTTTGCTAAATTAACAAAAAAAGACCGAAAATTTTGAAAAAAAAAAACATGTTTTTCTTTCTTCCTGTTTTAAAAGTTTGCAAATAAATAATTGTTCTTCATAAATTTAGGCCAAGATGTATTCTACTACATGTCTTTGGTGAAAATAACCCAAATTAGGATGTATTTTTTAGTTTGTAGGAAAGTTATAGAGTTCACAAACTATGGGATATATCTGAATATTGATCAGTCTTGAAGTATTGACAGCCAATCTAATTTCTTGAGGTCCAAGAATGTCAGAACAGTACAGATATCCTCCAAATGACCCCTTTTTGCAAAGTAGACAGTCTGACGTACTTCATAACAGGCATGGCGAGTTTTTTGAAGTTGTATTTTTTTTGTCATAATTTTTCAGAAAATGAAAAAATAAAAAAAGTTATTTTCACTATTGTTTTTTTAGATACTGTCACCAGTGCAGTACAGCGCCATCATATAACTGGCATGGCGGTGATCAGGGACACTGACTGGTGACAGTATGAAAAAAAAAAATTGTACTTTTTTAAAATTATTTTTAATTTTTTATTACATTTTTTTTCTTTTTTTTAAGATTTTTTTTTTTCATATTTTACTATGACCAAAGTAGTACAATGTTACCATAGTAACATTGTACTACTTTGGGGAAGTGATCAGTATTTTTTTTTTTTTTTTACACAATTTGCTTATAGCAAAGAATTACTTTGTTATAAGCAAGCATTTACCTGAATGATATCGATTCATTCAGGGTTTTTTTTTTTTTTTTGTGCTTAGCTGTGATTTGGCCACGGCTAATCACATGACACAGCTGGGCTGTGATTGGTCCAGCTTGTGCATGTGATCGCTGTGACCATTCACAGCTAGACACACTAGTATACAATGAATGGCATGAATGAAGCCATCCATTGTATACAACTGTCATGTGACCTGCTGTGATTGGTCACAGCAGGTCACATGGTACTGGCAACGGGGCCGGCACTCAGATCTGTCATCGGCCGTGTCTGAGGTGACAGATCGTGCCGCTGCGCGGCTCTGCAGGCTCGCAAACTGCGCATGCCCGAAAGGACGCCATATTGACATCCACCCGGAAAGGTGAGGGATTTTGCCGGTTGCCATTTGGCCATAGGCCGGGCGGGAGGAGGTTAAGTTAGTAAGTTTTAAGTTAGTCAGGTTTAAATTGGGTAACCTTGTTCACACGTGCTAACATCTGGAGCTGGTGCGTAGAAGAGACAAATGGTAAAATATACACTCAAGAGCCACTTATTTAGATACACCTTGCTAGTGCCAAGAAAACATCCCCCAAACCATTACACCACCACCACCACCAGCTTGAACCATTGATGCAAGACAGGATGGATCAATGCTTTCATGTTGCTTATGCCAAATTCTGACCCTACCATCTGAATGTCGCAGCAACCAGTCTGCCCATTCTTCTTTGACCTCTGCCATCAACAAGGCATTTTTGGTCCCCAAAACTGCTGCTCACTGGATATTTTCACTTTTTAGGATCATTCGCTGTAAACCCTAGAGATGGTTGTGCGTGAAAATCCCAGTAGAACAACAGTTTTTGAAATACTCAGACCAGCCTGTCTGATACCAACAACCATGCTATGTTCAAAGTCACTTAAATCCCCTTTCTCCCCCAATCTGATCCTCAGTTTGAACTTCAGCAGGCAGTCTTTGCCACGTCTAGATGCCTAAATGCATTGAGTTGCTGTCATGTGATTACCTGATTAGCAACTTGTGTTACCAAGCAATTGAACAAGTGTACCTAATAAAGTGGCTGGTGAACGTATGCTGGGTGAAGTCTATTGCAAGTTAGGTTTGGCTTTTAAAAGGATGTGGATCGTCACATAGCAATATGGATCACCTGCAAATGGGAAAGGATGACTGGCTACTGAAGAGTGATAAAACCATGTGAGACTATTGCCATTTTAATAGACACTGCAATGTTACTAGACTTACTGTGCCATGTTAGCACAGAGTACCAGGTTATCACAGAAACTTCCATTTTATCAAGTTTGTCATGTTATCAGAGAACACAATGTTATTTTGTCCATAGGCTTCAAAAGACAATGAGAGACACATACATAATCTGACTGATTTGGACAACATCAGGTGTTGGGTTCATGGGGGTGTCTAATCCATGCTTGTTGCTATACAGAGTAGAAGGAGGAGAAGAAAGATGAGGTGATATCACCCCTTTGTCATGACATCCTAAGGCCATAAAGAAACACATCAGAAGCCAGGAAAGGTACATGGATTCAGGTCTTGGAGGATCCTCAGAATTTTAGACTGTATAGCAGCTTGCTAATGTACATTAGTAAGGCCAACCAGCGGACCATAAGATTTTTCCTGTTTATGCAGGACCTCTGTGTAGCAGGAGCATGACAGCAGCTCATGCATAAATGAAGCTTGCAAACACTGGTTAAACACGTTAATCATAAATGCATAATAAAAATATTATTGCAATGAAGTTTGTTTTTGGTGTTTTAACATTTGTTTGCAGAATTTCTTAGTTCTTGCTTATCCTAATCATTTTTGTAGCACTGCATTAAAAAAGGAAACAAAACTGCAGCTATAAACTTCGTTATTTCCCAGATTTAATAAAAACCTTGCTTTGTTTGACCATGTTCGTTAAGACAAAATCCTATATAGACACCCATATTGTGCCATGCCCACATTATACAGTATAAACCACAGCCACGTTCACTGCAACATCTGTATGGTTTTTGAAGGGTCAGAAGGTGGCAAACCTAGGACTGGCAGGCAACAGCTCTCATTTCTGCCCCTGTGCCCTCTTGGCTCCTGTATGTGTGGATGTTCAGGCACAATTCTACCTTAAGGCATTCTATCTTAAGGCATTTGTGCATGAGCCATCCATGTGTATGGGAA